ACAGGGCTGCATTCATTAACAGGCCTATTTGTTGCAAAATATTTTAGAAGCCACTTACATGTATGTTTTTCTCTAAGGCAGTAGTTTTGTTGTGTAATTCCTTAGGTTACAAGTATGGGTAGTCCTCTTTTTTTCTCAGTATTTTTTGTGAGTAAGCATGTAAGCTAAGTGTTTGCAAAATTACCTCTCGCAACATCTAGCAGTGGAGAAAAATATAAGTGGTTGATAAAATTCCACTTTGACATGGATAAAACAATTCTGTAGTAACAGAAATGATGAATTACAGAAGTTATAAAGTCAGTGCTTTTAGCAGGAAACTTTTTTTGGATGATAATCTTAAGTGGTGTCTGGACCATTAGCTTGTCTTCCTAACCTTCAGGTATAAATGTATGGTAACTGGTTTGTTGATTTACGTAATTTTTCTTTCAGATGGTGCTGATGCCTTCAAGCGTGGTTTGGACTTGGGGTACCAGTCTGGATATCAAAAACGTAGTAAAGATGTTCTTTCTTGGGCCAAGAAGAAAAAGAAAATTATCCTTCGTGAGGAACTGTTGTCTTATTTGGCTGGCCGTTCACCACCCAGACGGACTCATGAAGTGAGAAACACTTCAACTACAACTTTAGGGTCAAATTCAATGGTTTTGCCCTCTGGAATGGACTCCGATATTGTTGACACTGGTGTACAGTGCTATGGTGCACCTTTGGATACCTTTGCTGTCCGACCAGAGCTTAACACAGCTGCTTTCTTTGCTGCTGCAGGGGGCCTAGGTTCTTATCACAGTCCTCGTCGTAGAAGTCACTCTGATGCAAACTATGGTGATACAGAAGTGAGAGAGGGAAGAAAGCGTTCCGCTTGTTCAACAGACATAGTTATGGAGTCTCCTTCGCACAAACGAAATCGCTATTTCTAAACAGAGTGTTATAGAAACTCCATTAATTTTGTCGAATGAAAATATGTAAGATAGATATAAAATGCTGTGATGCTAAGAGAACAAACTTTCTTCTATGTAATTCTGTTTTGTTAAGCTTTTGGTACAGTTAGGTTTGTTAACTAAGCTGTACTCTGTTCCACATGAATGATAATAGTTATAAAAATATAGTGTGAAAACCTTATTGTCAAGCAACCTGTAATGTTGTGCTTGTTTTCCCTCTACGATAGCTGACTTTTCATCTTGGTTGTCAAACATTTCTTAGATACAGATTCTTACTCTGACAGTGCCTCTCTCCACCCAGAACCAGTTTGATGAAAGGTTGGATAACACTATCCACAAGAATATATATCTTATTAGATGTTTTGGTGTGTAGTATCACACTTTATCATACGGCTAGCTCGGTGAGTGGACAAGATGAACAAAATCCTTAGGTGTGATTGGCTACCCAACCGGGCAAGATGGCACTATCTTGCCCACTCTGGATATCTCGCCGTATCCCGCAAGAAAATGGTGTTCTTTTTCCATACAATAAATCCTTTATTGACCAAGCTTGTCCGGTTAAGATGGCTGGATATTTGCCTCATTCTTTTTTTTTAACATGATTGTGGACCTTGACTCCGTCTCAGTCCATAAACACGCAAAAAAAGAACTTGGCCAATATCCAACCATCTTGACCTCATGCTTAGTCAATAACTCATATTTATTATATTACTTGTGTTTGTAGCCGATATAACATGCACTGATTGGCTAATTCTATGGCATTATTCTCCCGTAATGTCCACAGGCCAATTATGGGCTCGCAAAACCAAAGCAAAAAGCCATGTAATAAACAACTTATTAACCTTGAACGTTCGGTCTCTACCGGTCTCAAACCTCGGCCTTGCTGTATTGACCTGGCTATCACTCTGTCAATATGGGAAGGTTTGAGATTTTCCCATAAAGACCTTACTCTTGGTTAATAAGTAATATATATTTTTGCAAGTTGTGCTGTATTAAGAACCCATGGGCTGAGTCAAAATACAAACAATGAGTAAAAAATATCCAGTGATACTACACATCAAAACATCTAATAAAAGGTTTATTCAACTGCCGTAGTCAATAGATTTATCGGCAAAAGTGGGAGAGTTTGACGATTTTGAATCAGGTGGGTCAACCTCTCAATCAGTTTTTCTGCTGTGAAAATAACTACACAATATTGCTCTAGAATATTATTGTACTTGTTTCGAGCGTTATTTTGACCATATTTGCTGCAGTTGGATGAAAGGTTCTATCTGATGTTAATACTCACTGGTTATTGAATTCCTGAGTCGATAGTGCCATCCGTACGAGTAGATGCTGCAGATTATACCCAAAAGGCCCCTCAGGGCAGTGGCCTCATGGTTGGTGCGCCCATCTCCAGATCGAGTGGTCTGGGTTCGAGCCCTGGCCAGGGACGTCGCATCGTGTTCTTGGGCAAGATACTTTACTCTCGCAGTGCCTGCCTCCCTCCACCCAGGTGTATAAATGGGTACTGGCAAACTTGATGCTGGGGGTAAACCTGTTATGGGCTAGCGTCCTATCCAATGGGTAGTAGAAATACTCCTAGTTGTTTCATGCTACAGGAAACAGGATAAGCTCTGGCCTGATGGGCCACTTGGCTCGTATGCAGACTTAACCCTACCCATCTCTCAGAAGGCAAGTGATACCACAGTGAGTGGGCCATCAGTTTGTTTGCACTGTCTCTGCTACAGGAAAGAGGAGACTAGATGTTCACTGTTTCCAGCAGCACTATACCTTTCATGCTCAGAGGTAAGTGCCCAGAAATGAGTCTTTTTCTGGGCACTTATATCACATACATATTAAAATAGCTGCGGATACCACTGCAGCTCATTTTCTTGTTTCTTTCTTTGATCCTTTGCTCCAGCCCTACCTGTTGAGGTAACATTACATGGCTAGCTCTGTGAGAGGGTACAGTGAACAAACTCCTAACCTGTGATTGGCTACTCAAGCAGGTTAATGGGCCTATCTTGCTGGCTTTTCATTGCCTTCTGGTGTCCATCAAGAGGAAAAAAGGTTTCGTTTAGTCAGGGTGGCTGGATATTGGCCTAGTTTATTTAGGGGATGTGATTATATTATGGACCTTGATTGCCTCCTGAGGCCAGTTTCTCGAAGGTCCCAAAAAGTTTTTGTGCCCCGAAAGCTGGAGAAAAATCTCAAACCTTATGACCACAGAGCTGTTCTTTTCACATATTTTCAGTGTAAACAGAGGTTCCATTCAGTACAAGAAGTTTGAGGCATGTATGTTGTAGGTAAAATTTGTTCTCAGGTTAAAACAGTATTCCAACTAGGTCAAATCTGTAGTCTGTATTAAACCTAGGTTAAATCCCTACTTTGTAATTGATGTGTTAAGTCTTTAATTAAACTAGATCAAATGTGTACCAAATGTAATTTGGAGAAAATTTCATTACCCCTGAGAGTTCAAAATAGTGGGGTTCAACTGTACTGTTGTAATGAGCTCAGTTTCATGTTCAATGGTTATTTTCCCCCGATCTTTGTAGTCTTAGAAGTGCAAGTAAGGAAACAGAAGAGGGTGACAAAGACCAAGACCACTTCCTTGTACTTGACCATCTGAAAGAGAAACTGCAATCTCTCGTCTCAGTCGGTGTCAAAGCATGCACCAGAGGAGCTACAGAGAATTTCTGTTATGGGACTTTTAAATAGTACTTCATTGCAGGATAGCAACTCCCCTTATGTATGATAAAGGTTGACCAGAGAAAGAACAGTTTTCAGTGAGCATCTATATTAAAAAAAGTGTAGAAGTAACCCTATTTAAACCATTTGGTGGTCAAAATAGTTTATTTTGATGCATGAGAACATGGCTGCAGAATCTTTTATTGTTTTGGAATGCATTCAGGTACAAAACAGGAAGCATCAGTTTATCTCAGGGGTGATTAGACACTACTACAACATCATATTTAACAATCTTACAGGACAACCACCAGTAAAAATAATTTTCTTTAATAATAACTACAACTTGCTAAAATTGGCATTACTGTGGAAAACAAATACATTCACATTATACCAGTGGCAGTGCTTCTTCTGTCTCGTGGCATGAAACAAACTCTAGAACTTTGTATTCAACATCTTAGAATTAGCAGGGCCAATTTTAGATAATGAAACTTTGACACACAACAAACTCATGACAAACTCATGACAAGTGAGGGTTTAACATGGACTTTTTCAATCCCGCATACTGCCATTATCTTTAGTTCAATCCCACCATCCTGGTCCATAACAGTCATGACATGTAATTTTCTGTTTTTTATCCTGTATCCTGTCATCAATTTTAAAATTATTGTGTATTCCACCCGTTGATTAGCAAATCCCACTCCCACCAAAGTATTTTTGTCCCAGATCCAGCTTCCAGTTTATCTCTCATTCTGCATCCTTCAAAACTCATGTTGGACCCTCACAAGAGTGCAACACAAATTATTATGGCCTGTAAATCAAACCTATTTGCTATAATAAGGAGGCTCCACACAAGGACCTCTGTGTATCATATCAGTTTCCTAACTTGTGCATTTAAGAGAGAGTATGGCCCTAGACCTCTCTAGAAGGCACTCGTTGTTTCGGAAAACAGTCACCACTCATCCCAGATCTGCACCTGCAAATTTTGATACTGCTGTATGTTAGTCTCAAGTTATCTTTTATTAGCTTATATTGAAACATTTCTTCTTACCACCTATAAACCTTGACACAGAACCCTTTTTATAAGCTCACCCAAAACCCCTTGTAGATAATTTTATTTCAATATGGTGATGGCAAACTTCCCTCACTTACTTGCATGTACATTGTTGCATAAGCAAGCCCAGTTCTTATAATCAGAATTCTACAACATTCATTTTGTAGAGTTGTTGTTAGCTTGTCAAATCCAAACCACTCGATTCAGAGCCAAGTACACAAACCATGAGGCCACAGCGCCTCCACAACAAAGTTGTACACTGTCAGTCTAAATCAGCCCTTAGAGAACATAGCAGGGCAAAATTTAGTCTTCTTAATTATTAATAAAATTAAAAGAAAAGGAACATGTGTGAGAACTACGTAAATTTTAATACCAAATTTTGTTAACTGTACAATGTTTCAAACTCCTATTTCAACTGTTCCTCCAACTGCCTCTAAAACCTTTTTCATTTCATCAGCTTCCTCTTTGCTTACTTTCTCCTTCACATTCTGAGGTAGAGATTCGACAAATTTTTTGGCCTGAAAAGATGAAAATATAATAATAACAAGATGAGAAGCACACGTTATTTAAGCTGTCTTCTATAAGAAGTCTGAACAATGCAACATCCAAGAAATTCACTAGCTCTTAGTTGAGAACTTAAAATATCACATGTACGCTTTTATTTCAGTTAACTTATTTTGATCAACTTTTTTGCCTTCCATCAAGCACAGGTTGAAACAGTTACTTTGGTTGAAGTTTCCAAGTAGAACACATTTTCAACTATTCTTTTCAAACCATCACTTGAAAACAAAATCATAGCAGTTCCTGGCTAACTGTATGTGTGGCAAACAATTAATATACAAATTTAAATGTAAAAATCTCATTCAACTAACAAATTATGACAATTGGTTCAATCCAAAAAAAAAAATTAATGACAAAAGTCTACAACAAGGAACCTCTCAACCAAATAAACCAAAACCAGTGGCAGTTTTGTAAAAGTTTTGATCTCAATAAAATGTGATCCAAGAACACAACAAACAGTAAGATGATTGTAAGACTTGTATTGACTTACAACAGGATTGTGACTTTTCTACTAACCTGAACCAAGTTAAGTCCAGGTACAAGATTCTTGATTTCCTTTATGAGCTTTACTTTGCTTGCAGCATCAAACTGGGTTAATTTAACTGTAAATTCTGTTGGTTCTGCCCTCTCTGTCTCAGCTTCTTCCTCCTAAAATATAAAATGGTTGTACACTAAAACAAATGATTGTGGGTAGCAGGGATAATTCAGTAAGAAAATAAATATTAGGGGAGCAGGAGGGGTGACTGCAAGCAGTCTGACTAGGGGCTTGTTGTAGTCTTTAGGACTCAATAGAATGCAATTTACTTAATTTGGGTAACAGAAAAGAATCTGATCCCACCAACCCAGTTTTGGCCAACACATTGGTCGACACACTTTGCCACATTATTGATACATTTGTAGATGAATATGTGAGACTAAACACAGCAATGACTTGTCACCACTATGAGAATAAAATACTAAACCTATGCATTCTCTTGTAAATGGCACATGTAAATGGAGAGTTTATTTCTCTTTGAGTCCCAGACTGATGTCTCCCTTGAACAAATTTATTGTGATTTAAATTTAACAGCTCACCTGAGCAGGTGCAGCCGCCATGGGCATGCCACCCATCATTGGCATCATGGTAGCACCCTCAATTTTCAGCGTTTTCTGAAAAACAGAAGGGAACATTTATCACAGGTGTCCAAGAAAAGCACAGACAAGGAGGTGCTAAAAGAACCTTAATTTTGACATTGAGCATTTCCAAAGGAAACCTTAAAACAGCAAACCACTAAAAGTCACCTGACCAAGCACTGTTGTCACTTTTGGAATTTCGAAACGTGGCTTTTAATGCCGAGGTTTTCACATAAGTAGTTCACTTGAACGGTTTTTTTTCCTGAATTTCTGTTATGTAAACCAGTCCACATCCAAAAGAGAAACAGTTATTGGCAAGTGTGTTTATCGCAGGTGCTACAGGGTGGATGTCAAGAATATATATAGGATGCAACACATCGATCAATAGTTTTCGACGGAAATTGATAGTTAAAATTCATTTAAAATGCTACTGAAGGACAACATCCAACGATTACGGAAATTGATGGTGTTTAAATGAAATTGATCGTTTTCGATTGTAATTGATTAAAATCAATGAGCGCAAAAATATTGAGGATCGATTTTCGATATTACTCGATCAATCACTATCGATTGTTATCGAGTATCGGAATTATCGATTTTTTTTATGTCCTGGTTGGATGTACAAAAAAAACCTTCCTTACCTTCAGTAACTCATTCAGATCGGCAACCTCTATAAGTGTCAGTTTTGATATTTCATCTACAATATTTGTGATCTTTTCAGGGTACTCCTTCACTGCATCATCTGGCTGCGGAGCCGACAATGTGGAATTGTAGGCTGCAGAATTGAAGCGCGTGTGAATCCGCCATCTTTGAAGAGAAACACACCACGAACAGCTACAAATAAACATGTCACTTACGTTATCAAACAGCATTGCATTGCTTTAAATGTTCTAGAGATAAATAGTACCTAATACTGCTATAGGATCGATAGCAAGTCGCTTTATACGATGCTAAGAGTCTAAGAGACTTAGCTGTTGCTCGGGCCGCCATGTTGAATGTTCCCAAGTGCATCATGGGAAGTATCGTAGTCCGTTTACAAGAGGAGTACTGGGTAACATATCGGTATGGTCACATGAAAACTGCAAGTTCTCGAAGATATTATCTTCGTTGAGGTCGCTGTCTTTATACAAAACACTTTCTATATGCAGCATTCACAGCGTATGAGAAGCTTGAGCAATATGACGTCTGAAAATTCGCCGCTTCTTAGTCTGGATCAAGTAAGTTGAACATTGATCGGGACAAACCAAACACACTTCCTTCTTTAGCCTGTACGTTTTAAATGATGTAAGACCTAGTTTGCAAAACTCTTGCTGTTAACATTAGAGCGCTATTTTCTCATTTTCTCTTTGTAGCCGGCAGTTCAGCCTTGCTTGAGTCGTCGGAGAAATACCACAGAAGGTTCTAATTCTCTGCAGTTGGAGACTAGTCGAGAGGTGAGCTTGTGAATTTTAAACAACGTGATGTGTATACATCGTGAATCGGTACCGTGCTTGTGCTGATAGCATTTATTTTCTCTTTCATCGATCAGGATGTGTCGACTCGGGGCTTAGTGACAGAACCTGGAAGCCTTCAAAAAATATCCTCAAAATATGAGGTATAATGTCAATAGTGAATGTGCTTGTTATTACTATTATGTTGAGCACTGCTCTGGAAAATGTAGATCCTCCTTGTCACATGATTAGCCACAAGGTGTCACGTCTGTTTTTAAAAACTTCCTTGGACGTCAAGCTGTCTTCCTTGAAATTATGAAGTACCAAGAAAGTAAAAAATAAAAACTATTGATTTAAGTAATCAGCACAGCATTAAATTAAAAGAAGTTTTGTTCTTATGATACGTTTTACATCCAGTCAGCATTGCTATGACCAAGTGATGTTGGTCAAGTTAGACGTACACTGAGGGTTGTACAGGGGTATTCTCGTGATGCGTGATTAGCTGATTTCATTTTCCCTGAAACGTGAATTTAGGAAATTATTATACGTGACTCGTAACCGGAAGATTTTGCGTGACCCGTGAAGAACCTGAATCATTAACCGATATTCGTGATTTTACCACTCTATTCTACGTGATTTTGAGACGCAAGTCCTCCGAATGGTTAGAGTCATCTATGGAGAGTGACTTAGGTATGCGATTTGCAATATGGAGCCTTGACTTAGTCATTCGTGATTTTGCTTTCTTCAAACACTGTTTCTAGTGTAAGAACGGGTCATTAAAGATAGTATCTTACTTGCTTATTTTGTGATTCGGGAAAACAAAATTGTTATGTCTGTGACCCGTGATCCTCTATTTTTTCCATTCGTGAACCATGCCAAAGACCCCTCCTGTACGACCCTCTACACTTGCAGGTGGACTCAACTTCTACGACTTGTTACGATTGGCAGAGTTTTTCATTATTTAGCTACTCACACCGTCAATTATAATTTAATTTTTATTCATACTGTAAACGATTTGTCACTTATTAAATTTCATGGGTCCTCCTCAGGTATACAATACCCGGTCCACAAACACAAAATTATTAAATGAAATTGATGGGAGGATGTTAAATCAAGTTGTTTGAAAAGTATATCTACCTACTAGTTCTATGACAACACGGTGGAGTTTATCAGTTCACCACGGGTCCAACTTTCGAGTCTGTTTGAC